ATTATTATTTTTTATTACTGTACATAACTTGGTTGAGTTGCAGGGGTCAAAGATAAATTTATACTCAGAATGTTCCAGTCCTCTATTTTGCTATTATCTCATATTGATGAAATTTGAAAGTAAAGACTATTTTAAGATACTGATATATAGAGAGAATTTAATTTTATTACTTTAGATTTATTTATACATTTATTACTTCAACAAATGTCTTCAGGGCTGGGGATACCACTGTGCATATAATACATGAAATAGAAATAAATCAATACATATAATAAATTATAAATTACATATTATATAAGAATTGTTAAGTAATGAAAGTGGTTTTAAGAAAGATGAAGCTGAATACTACATGAACAGAGATTCTTTTTAAAGCTCTCTAAGGAGACCAAATTTGGTCAGAGACCAGTGAACCATGCATACCATGTGTAGGGTAAGATCATTTTAGGAGAAAGAACTAGGGTGCAATGACCCTAATGCTGAAGTAGATTCAGGTTATTTAAGAAGAGCAAGAAGGCCAATATGTCTAGAGGCAGAGAGAGGTCTAGTAACTTAACTTAAATTCTGCTCTCAGTTTGAAACTCAGAATTTTATTTTTTACTAGAGGCCTGGTGCATGAAATTTGTGCGGGGGGGGGAGGGGGGGGAGCAGTCCCTCAGCCTGACCTGCACCCTCTCCAATCTGGGAACCCTCGGGGATCTCTGGCTCCTAAGTGCTTACCTGCCTGCCTGCCCTAACCACTCTGCCTGCCTGCCTGATCCCCCTAACTGCCCTCCCCTGCCAGCCTGGTTGCCCCCTATTAACATTTTTTTTTAATCTTATCCCCTTCACACATAGTTGTATTTGACTTCCTTATTGGCTTCTCCCTCTCACACAATTTTTCTCTCTCCTTTATGTAACACTTTTTCCTACTGACTCATCATTTATAAACTTTACTTTCCTCCTTATTTCCTACTTCTGTTCCATCATCCTTCTTCCCATCGTTCTCCTACCCTCACTCCCTCCCCACATTTCTTCTTTCCTTTATCTTTACCCCTGCCCCACTCCCCTTTTCCTTCCTTCCCACCTTAATTTTTTTCTTCACTTCCTCCCTCGGACCTGCTTTGCTTCCTCCACCATTTCTTCCTTCTTCCCATTCTCCTTTTAAGCTCTACCAGCTCCCCTTTAAAACTTTTCTTCCCTGCCTCTTTCTCTCTCATCTTACCTTTCCCATACATTCTTCTCTACTTACTTCCACTGTTTTAATATCTATCTACCTGCCTAAATTATTCATTATCATTTATCTTTTTTTTTTCTGACTCCTACTTTTAAAATCTGTCCCCAGCATACAACTATACTTGATTTTCATTATAGCTCCTACAGTTCACTCACACATCCTCTTTCCTTCTTTAAATCTGCTCTCTACTAACTCCTTTATAAAGTTCTTCCTTCCGTCCTTCCCTTCTTAAAGCTTCTGTTTTTTGGGGGGAGGGAGGATTAACCTCCAGCCCAGGGCTCAGCCCCAGCCAGGTGTTTACTGCCCCGCCTTCCCCAGCCACCCCACTGCTGTCCTGCTCCCATTCCCTGTTTGGGACGCCTAGTCTAGCAAGGGTGGCCGAGGCCTGCGTGGTCCAGGCACTGCTGCTGCAAAGCAGGAGTACCTCCGCCCAGAAGGCCTCGGACCATCCACCACTCCATCCTAGACCCGTGGGCACCTCCCCACCAATGGCCCATGTCAGGGGACACCGCCTTCCTCCCATGTCTCGGCAGGGCTCCCCGCTCCACACTGCCTGCACCCTGCCCCTTGCCCAGCACACCTGTTCTGTCCCCTGACAGTCGCCACCCACTCCTGCGTGCAGCTCTGTGTTTCCTTCCCTTTTCCATTCCTGCGTCTTTTTCTTGTTCCCTTTCTGTATTTCTGTTTCTCCTCTTGGCCTGTCTGCATGCAGGCCTGCCTTCCTCTCCCTCTCCTTTCTTATCCCCTCCTATCATATCATATCCTATCCTACCCTGGGCCTTGCAGCTGGCTGAGCAGAGGGTGGGGATGCAGCCTGCTGATCCAGTCATGACATGATGCTGTAATGGACAATTTGCATATTCCTCTATTATTATACAAGATGACTACACTTGATTAACTTTGTTTTATGTATCCCAAAACTGCCAAATTATTATCTGAGTTATTTTCCAATATATCAAACTACAGGCCCGTTGCACAAAATTCGTGCACAGGTAGGGTCCCTAGGCCTAGCTGGCAATCAGGGCAGAGCTGTGGGGAAACTGGCAGGGTAATTGGGGGGCCCCCATTGGCACCCGCCTTGGCTAGCCTGGCACTGCCTGCTTGCTGGCCCTACCTCCTGCTGGTGGGGTGATTGGAGAGGCAGCCCAGCCCACTAGTCAGCCAGCCCCACCCCCTACTGCAGGTCACCCCACAGAGGGAGGTGTCCTGCAGGGTGATCAGGGGAACCCCGCTGGCACCTGCCTTGGCTGGCCTGGGGCCTGTGGGCTGGGGACAGTTTCTGCATTGAGCATCTGCCCCCTGGTGGTCAGTGCACATCATAGTGACCAGTCTTTCCACTGGTCATTCTGCCATTAGGTCGATTTGCATATTAGGCTTTTATTATATAGGATAACTAATGATACTTTTAATAAACTCATTTGAAAAGAGAAATCTAAAAGAAATTTCTCTTTCTTTAACACACTTACTAACATAGTGATTTCTTAAACTGAGGCCCAGTGATGACCTGGATCCTATCCAGACATATCTGAGCTTAGGAATCTGAATTTGTGATGGACTCCCAGCAGTTGCTGATGCACACAAGTTTGAGACTCACTGACATGGAGGAATCAATCAGAAAAATTAATCTATAGTGGCACACATGAGGAGTCAAGGATGTGCCTGAGAAACATACACCGGCAAAGCTGTAAGCACATAAATTGAGGCATTATCACAAAGACCCTTGGAAAATCAGTCTGGGAGTCCAGAGAATGGCTTCCAAAAATGTATGTTTGGATTGACCTTTGGAGTTGACTTCCCACACAGTCAGTCCTATGCACTGAGACTGAAGTAGATGCAATAGGGCAGCTCCAAGGGTAGAACTCGCCACCAGCCACATTAGTAAGGACAGAAGGAGACCAGCTGTGCCTTTCCCCTATGAGCATTTCGGCTATGGCCACCCTTTAGGTCAGCACGCAGACCCTTTAGCTTCAGACTTCTGCCTTATTCTCTTGACATTACAATGGACCCAATTTCCTGAGCCTTTGCTTATTGCTATATCTTCCTGTCATCCTGTGACTATGAATTGCGTGTCAATAAAAGATGAGTATGTATTCAAACTCTATAGAACAGAATAAAGAACAAATGCAGACTTTTCTTTAAAAAGCTAGACATCAACATCCTTTTTCTTACAGATAGAGGCAGGTGAATGGAAAATCTGATACCTGACATGATGATGGGGCTCTGACAGCAATAAAGTATAACTGAGGATCTGCCAGCCTGCGTGGAGCTTGTTTGTTCACACTCTGGGCCAGTTTCATGAGAGGGAAAAATAGAATTATATATATTTTTTTCACTTGTAGAGCCATATAAAGGAAATGACATTTTCATTTGCTATATGAATAGTTTTCAGTTATTTCTAAGTTTCCTTGAAACCAGTTTTTTAAAAATATTTCTGAGGATGTTAATAAATGTTCTTAAGTAAAATAAAATTGTGCTTTAATCTACATTTTCAGTTTTTCAGACTATAAAGAGAACTTGGCAAAATCATCAGCATTTCCATAAAATCCCAAATGTAAACAAAGAGTAAATACAAACGCCAGGAGTCTTTTAAAATTCGACAAATGTGTCCTTACCCAGTATGTGTGGTTTGAATCGGGTTCTTCGTGCCCCTAGGTCCCCCAGCCTCAGCCAAGTGCATTTTGTCTCTCACTAGTGCCCTGAGGATGATGGTACAATAGCGCGCATTCATTGCAGCGGTATGTGCAGAATTATGGTTCAAGGTCCCTTTATTGTTTCCTCGGGTAACCATTCCATGAGTGAGTGCTACTTGTCTGTAAGGATGGGCACTACAGAATTTTGACCCTCTCAGTGGCTAGAAATCTCTTTCATCACCCAAATTTTTAAGGTAACCATTTTTCTTATTCATAGTATAGAAGTAACTCACGGACATACAACATATTTTAAATAGCGCATTAGAAAAAAAAAGAATATATTTGCTTCCGCGCCTCCTCTGTCCCCCCAACTTCCAATATGCTCACAGTTTCAGAGTGTTTGGCTGGAATTTACTTTTAATTTATAATTGTTGTGAAGCAAAAATTGAATTCAGAATCTGTATAAAGTGATAGTTATTCCAAATAGCAGTTGTATTCATATTCATCACAGATCACCAAATGGGACTGATTATAAATGTACTGGGAGACTACCAGAAAGGCACTGTTGATTTACTTTATATACAAGAAAAACAAGGCATATGCAAAATGAAAGCACAATGCTTACTGAATTGTAAGTGATTAAACATTAATGACTGTAAAGCTTAGTCAAACAGAGAAAGTCTTAAAGTCTTCCGCAGTACATCATGGTGAGTGTCAATGGATAAAGCAGAATGCCAATATTAGTTGGAATGTTCTTGAAGAGAGTTAAGCTTTGTCAATAGCTATAAATGTACATGTGCCAATATCTTAAAGGCTATCGATCTCTACACACTATTTGTAAAGGCTTGATTAGTCTGACTGTACCAGAAATATTCTGGTACTGGTTGGTATTGAAAATAAAAAAATCTGAAAGTAATTTTATATTCACTTATTTGGAGGGTTTTTTGTTTTGTTTTGTTTTGTTTGTGCCATGTGTATGAATTTTGGTGTTGATTTAGTCAAATATTTATTATCTGTACTAAAAGTAGAAAGAGAATGAATTAACCAAATATTTGTTTTCTTTCTTCATAGCCTTTCGACCAAGTGAATGCAAGTTTAAACAAATACTTGTCAAATATGAAATAAGTATTAGGAAAAAAGAACAAAAATAGTCTTACATCCTTTTTTTATCATCTCAAGGAAGTCTCCAAACTCCATCCTTGGCCACTTTGGACAATCACCTTGCAGGGGGAAAAAAAAAGTAAGAATTCAGGATGGGTGGCATTGAAATCCCAAGTTCTGTTTTGTCCAGTGCCCCACTCCTATCACAGGTGAATTTGTGGCCTTATCTGACAGAAAAGGTTGGTTGACCCTGCTATTAAAAAATCATTTCATTAGCCTCCAATACAAAGACTCAGGGGAACAGAATATTCCCTACCAATGTGGGAAATTCCTAATAGTAGAAGACCAGCAAGTCAGAACATTACCAAAAAGGCATTGAGTACAGTTTAGATGCTGCAAAGCATTGTTTGGATATATTTTGGAATTGACAGTGGATCCAGCATGAGATAATACTCAATAATAAGTTTTAGATTGTTAGGTGTGACAATGTAAGAAAATACTTTTGTCTTTTTTTGGGGGGGAGGGAGGATGTTATATTGTCTGTGTAATATTTGATCTTGCCTCTCCCCCACTACCACTCCACCCCATTTCAGAGAAGAGTCATCAAATTCTTGCTGTCAATTCCACATCCATTTAACTGTAGATGTTTTCTGGTGACTATTTAGGTATTTATTTATCCAGCTATTGTTTATGGCTGATGTAAGAGAAAGCACTGCATTTGGCATCCAAAGACCTTGGTTCCAATCTTTTCTCTGCTGTTAAATCATACGACCTTATTTTTTTAAAAAAATCAATTAACCTCTTTAAATGAGTTATTGTTGCTTTAACTTCTCTTGTCAATTACCTAGTTATTTTGAAGGATCAAATGAAGCAGTAAATTAAAAAGTTCAACTTGAGATGAACCACACCACATCCTTGTGAGATATTGTTGAGAGGTTCCTCTAACCCTGAGAAAGTTGCAGGAAGAAATGTAAATAAGGGGTAAAGTTTATGAGCAGCATGCACAAAGTACAATAACTTTAACAACTGACACTGAATCCTTTTGAAGGATAAAGCTGTATTTTTCTGGGAAAATGCACTGAGTGTTCCGAGTTTGAGGGACAGCAGGGAAAAGGCCTAGGAGGAAGAAGAAGCTGCTCTACATAACAGATAAAAAAGAGCCTAGCCCGGCTGGTATGTGGCCGATTGATGATGTTCCTCTCTCACTGATGTGTCTATCTCTCTATCCCATTCCCTCTCCCTTTCTTTCTCTCTAAAAGTCAATAAAAATATATATTTTTTAAATTGTAAAAAAAAAAGAATCTAAGACTCTGAGAGGAGAAAATCCTGAGTAGAGGAAGGAAGAGCAAAGATTCAAGGTAAAGTTCAAGATTTAAAAAATAAAATAATGGCATAAGGCCGACTTTCCGTATTCTTCATTTTTTTCTGCAAATTTTTTCAAGTTACTGAAAGCCTCATGTATGTGGATTTTTGTGGAAACCAGTGAAAGCACTACATTCCTGGTCCAGTTTGGGTTAAGGTAAATGATACCACATAGAGACATCAGAGGAGGTAGTATTTCATCTTATGACAGAGAAGATGTGGAAAAAAACCCTCAGAAATGTATAAAAGTTGGATTTAGATGACCAATCATAGGCTGTGGGTTTCGGGTTTTAGTCAAATTTACCAAGTTGGCTAATAAACCAGGAGGCTTCAGCTGGCCCAGCTACATTCACAGTTAAAAATAACATGGCAAGTAACAAAAATACTCTGAGAGAGATTATAATATTATGGGATATTAAAAGAGAGAATATCACTTCTGGTTGAGGATATCAGGTTTTCATCTAAGAGGGGGATTTGAGCTTTTTAAAAAATACATTTTTATTGATTTCAGAAAGGGAGAGGAAGAGAGAGGTAGAAACATCATGGATTGGCTGCCTCCTGCATGTCCCCTACTGGACATCGAGCCCACAGCCCCTGGCATGTGCCCTGACTAGGAATCGAATCTTAATCTCCTGGTTCTGAGCCCCACCAGCCAGGTGGGATTTGAGCTTTTTTAATTTTTGTTTTGATTTATCTCATTTTGCTTGTTTTATATTAATGTGTGAGTAAAGTTTAAGGAAGAAAAAGATATCTCAGAGAAGTTATTCCCCTTCAAGTGAATATCCAAATTTCACTATAGAAACCTAAAATTCACCCAAACTCTCCATCCTTATTTTACCTTAAGGTCTTTATTTATTCTTTCACTCATTAAGTCAAAAGAATTTTACTTTGTTTCTACTGTGTGCCAAAAAACAGTGCTAGACATTAAACTCACAAAAATAATTGCAGTACTGTCCTTCCCTCAGAAAGCTTATGCCTGAGGGAGAGGGCTTGTTGTCTTGCTTTCTAATGTATATTGAACTCATAAACATTACTTCCTAAAAGCATTGTCTAATAAAACCATCTTCTGTCTTATGTTAAAAGTTTATGGTTGGTAATGAAGGTTTTTATTTAATTCCATTCTCATCATTGCTGACAAATATTTCTTGGGCATTAAAAAGGGATCACCTTTCAAAGATAATTTGAATTTTATACTATTTTTCCCTTTTGTTAGTAAAATACAACTGGAGATGAACCTGCAAAACATCAGCATTCTCAACTAAGTCATTAGGAAAAGACATAAAAATGAGATTGTTAAGGATATAAAAGTTTATAGAGAGGATGATTATAATTAGACTTTTTTGGTTGATATAGCTGCAGTACCAGAATACAGTAAACTATGAACTCAAGAACCTAATCTTTCCTATACTTATATTTCTGATGGCAAATAAGTTAACTGTCATTTCAATTTTTGCAAAGGAAAATGTAGAATCTAATTCAGCATTTCTTGTTCTCTTTTGGATTATGGAATTCTGAGACACAGAAAAAAAATCTGAATCCTTCTACAGAATAGTGCACATATGGATCTACACACAAAATATTTGTATATAGATTAGGGGATTTTTTTAAAACTCCAGTTCTAGATAGTGGATGAAACAATCAAGTTCACAAATGATTACAATAAATGCTATTACTTGCAAGACCATGATATTTACAGGACTTGAAATAAACTGTGCATACTTTATGATCTTGGATCACTTTGTGGAGACTGTAGATATAATTTGAAAATGTGTTTTTTTAAAAAGCCAATCAAGAAGGAAGGAAAGATTCTGAGATACTGAAGGGCAAAGACAGTCTTTTTTATGTTATATCCCTGGAGCCAAAAGCAATCTTTTATATATATGGTAGATGCAAAATAACCTTTGTTGAATAAAGCAAAGGTCATGGATAAGCTAACAACAAAATATTCATTCTTACAGTTTTCTGCCTGATACCTAATAGTTCTTATAATAAAGGTAAAGAGTCCCTATTAGATTCAGCCCCTTTCATCCCCAACTGCCTCTAGCAGGGTCTGAGTAGCCTTTGCATTTTCACTGTGGTTAGAGATCAACCCTATGGCCATTAGACCATGATCTCTTTTGTTTTAAGACAAAATGTTAGAGCTTAAGTATTGCTGTAAAATGAAATAATATCTTTGGCACTGCATTTAAAATAACAACCTGCCTGAAGGCAACATTTTCTTTCCCTCATCACACTGTAATTTCTATTTCACATTCTGCCTTTGTTCAGTGAGTCCCATCCCCAGACACTGTGAGGAAAACTGTAGGAAGGTAATGAGTGCAGAAACTGAGAGACAGGCCGTGCAGGAACAGGCTGTATGTTGTGTTTAAAAAAAGATTTGACCCCAAAGCAGTCACTGAATATACACTGTGTTGATGATGAAGTGAGGAAAGGTGAACTAAATAATGCATTTTGATATTTTAAAGCTAATCCTCTCTTTATCCAAATATTTTTAGTTCAAGAAAGACATTCGTACCAAGAGGGAAGTTTTGCCTTTTCAGACATACTATTGTGGGTATGTTATGGGAATCTGCACCATGATTAGTCTATAGATTAGAGAAACTATATAAGAAAGAAATCCTGAGGCTTGAAATGATATCTGTCTAACAATATGTCTGAGAATAGGGAAATGTTTTGCTACATTAAACAAGGTCTTAAAAGCTTAGGTTAGGAATTAGTAAACTAGGGTCAGTGATTCAAATCCAGCCCGTGGCCTTTTTTATCCTCAAGCTAAGGGTAGTTTTAAAATTTTAAATGGTTGTAAAACAAAACAAAGAGAAATATATGACAGAGACCATATGTAGCTCCCAAAGCCAAAAATATTTATTATTTGGCCATTTACATAATTACTTTGTTAGAAATACTTTAGATTCTAATGTACTAGTGACTAGTCTTAATGTGCAATTTTGGATTCAGTTGGAAATACCACACTACACCAAAGACACTTCTCTTCTGCAGCAGTTAATTTGTGCCATTTTAGAACCAGAAAAGATGGAAAATTTCCCTAGAAATAAATCAAATGTCCAAATTTCTTATTAATTTAAATCACTCTAACTAAAATTGACTTCCATATCAAGCATAATGCTTTAGGAATAAAGTTGCCCAATGATAATTTTTAAATTGAGCAATTTCTTAACATATTTTGAAAAAGCATGGATCTGAGCTCCAAAGCACAGACTTTTTGAAAGCATTGAAAAATTCTTATACCCAACTGTAATATTCTTTCCTATGAATTAATTCTTCAGAAAACATCACCTCTCTCCATGTTTTTGAATGTTCAGTTTCACATAAAGATACTTAGGTATTTGAATCTAACAAATTTTCAGTAGTATTTATTCAATAACATAAAACCCTTTAAATGTGCTTAACTACCTTGTGGATTAACTATATAGTTGAGAATTCAAGCTCAATTAATATAACTTTATGATTAAATTTATTACCACAACTGATATTCTTTTTTAATTAGTTTCATGGAAATCTAACTTTTATGTTATGGCACTAAAAATTAAGATTCATTTGGCCATGAGCATATAATAGAATGGTCTTTTACATCAAATAGGAATAAAATAATTTTAACAAATTAATTTTTCTAGTTTTTTTAATATATATTTTTTATTGATTTCAGAGAGGAAAAGAGAGGGAGAGAGAGATAGAAACATCAGTGATGAGAGAGAATCATTGATTGGCTGTCTCCTGCAGGCCCCCTACTTGGGATCAAGCC